TGTCTTTCTGGTAGTAACCACTCTAGCAGGGGTGAAGTAGGTCTTTGTGCCTTTGGTTTGCTTTCCCTTATAGCTGGTGGTATCTAGCACTTTTATATAACTGTTGGTCATTTTAATGTCTGCATTTCAGAAAAACCCAAGTATGTTGCCATTGATTTGATGAAGTTGCCATTTTGCTCTTGAGTTTGAGATACTTTGGATATTGCCCTGTTTTAAGATAGTAATATATACATATTTTAACTTTACACAGAGTGTGATTCCACCTTAATTGTCAACTTGACTGGGTTGAAAGATTCTTGACAAGATGATTGGATCTCTGGGGTGCCATGCTCACTGGTGTGTTAGTCGCTGGGGTTTACAGCTGGATGCAATGCTAGGAGGTGGGACTCAGTTGGAGGGCCTGGGTCACTGGTGTTGTGCTTTTGGAAGGTGTGTCTTTGGCTGGTGCTCTCTCCCCATGCTGTATCCTGGGAACTGGGACGTGAAAGCCGTGCTCCATCGTCCCCTTCTCCTCTGTAGTTTCTGTTCTGGAGCCAGCTGCCATGAACTGAAACCTGACAAACTGCACAAATGAGAAAACTTCTGAGGTGGATCCACAGCAGCGGTCTGGAACTCATCTCAGCATGGTGTGAGATGTGTGCCAGCCATGGGGTTACAGGACTTAATGATTATCTTACTGTGTTCTGACATTTCTGTAGTCTGATTTCTTGTACTTTCCCCATTCCTCTTTTATGAAATGGTAACACTTTGCATATACCATTCTATCCTGGGATTTTGTAGCTCATTATATGTATTTTATAGTGATTTCCCCTGAGTTTCAAAGGAGACTTTGGACTTGGGCATCTCTTAAGCCAATCCACTTCACAATCAAGATTAGGCATAATCTTCAGCTTTCACCTGTAGTCGTCATTTTTAGAGCATTTGGCTGAGAGTCCATGGGCTGATCACCAACCAGTTCCCGTTCACTCCCTTTCTTCAACCCCTCTTCTACACCACAATAAACAATTATTTTCTGATCTGGGAAATTACTAAATTAGGATTCCGTGTTTTAAACATTTTCCTCCAAAGAAAAGGAAGGTAAGAAGCAGGGGTTGTGTGTGGCAGAGAGCACTCAAAGAGAAAACAGAGCCGATGCCAGCGTGGACGTTTTCCTCAACAGATGGAATCTGTGGCTCAGCAAGCCTCCCTCTCACCCTTCCACATTCATCAACTGGTAGCCTTTCCCCCTTTATTTCTCAGCCTTTTGCTATTATGAGTTGTAGGATTATCACACACATTTGAGAAAGATATAATTTTAACACATCTTTGGTTGAGAATACACAGTCATTTTCAGAAATGAAAAGTATTTTCATTTAGCCTGGCTTATTTGAAGATGAGATCTGGAGTTGCAAATACTTTTAGATAGGGGGAAGTTTTCAAAAATTGAATTTACCTAACCTTCAGATCCAGAGGTGATAAATATATATTAAAGAAAACACATAACTTGCTATAGAATTTATTCTTAAATGATTTTCCCTTCATGCCTTCAAATAGAAAGCTCTGGTGATAATTACTGCTGCAAACTGTTAGTTCCTTGTTTTCCAAGTACAAAAGAGTAATGCAATATTTGTCTCCTGCACTTATTTTATTTCACTTATTATAATGTTGCCCATTTCCATCCATGTTTTCATAAGCAGAAGAATTTTATTTTGTATTCCCAAATTAATATCCTTTTTGTACAACACAAAGTTTTATTTACTCTCTCACCCATTGATGTGTATCATTTTTCTTCCACCTTTGGCTCCTGCAAATAGTGTGGCTATGGAATGGATGTACAGTTCCCTTTTCCTATAAAATTAAGGAAATGCTGCCATTGTGTCTTAAGAAATAAGACATTTTGGAAAGATCAAGAAGAAACAAGGTGGTTCTATTTGAAATATCAAAACCAGAACTTTCTAAAGAAAAGGTCTCTCTAGGTACCAGATTGACTAACATGTAGAGAAGGAAATTAATTTCTTTCAAACCTTAGGGGATTCATTTGGTAAAGCAGCTAAGGCATTACCCACTGATGTGTGCCTGTGGTTGTTCCAGGATACACAGAAAGATCATCTGGCATCTAAGGGCTTCACCCCTCCCTAAAATTACAGGATCCTCTTCCATGCTCTCTTCACATCCTTGTTTCTCAGGGTGTAGATGAGTGGGTTGAGCACTGGGGTAAAAATGCAGTAGAAAAAGGACATAAATTTGGCCTGAGTGTGATTTTCTGGAGGCTGGAGGTACACATAGATGGCAGGGCCAAAGTACAGGGTGACCACCAACAAGTGGGAACTGCAGGTGCTGAGTGCCTTGCGCTTTCCTTCAGATGAAGGCAGCTTTAGTACAGCCCTAGCAATAAAGGTGTAGGAGATGAGCACCAGCAAAGGAGCCACCCCTGAAAAAGGGATAGCTCCAATAGCAAGGATCAGCTCATTAGCAGAGGTGTCCTCACAGGCCAGCTTAATGAGAACAGGTAGCTCACAGAAGAAGTGGTCCAGGGTGTGGTGTCCACAGCGGGGAAGCTGGAAGGTGAGTGTGGCTTGGAGAAGGGCATTGGCCAGGCCACTGGCCCAGGAGGCAGCTGCCATCTGCACACAGACCCAGGGACGCATGATGAGAGTGTAGTGGAGAGGCCGGCAGATGGCCACATAGCGGTCAATGGCCATCACAGCCAGCAGGGCACATTCGGTGCAAGCTGCCCAGCTGAAAATATACACCTGTGTGATGCAGCCCCATGAAGTAATGGTCTTGTCTGGACCCTGCAAGTTGACCAGGAGCTGGGGCACAATGGTGCAGGTCACACTGAGGTCCAGCAGAGAGAGGTTGTCCAGGAAGAAGTACATGGGTGTCTGGAGTCTGGGGTCCACCAGGGAAAGGAAGATGATGGAGCTGTTCCCCAGCAGGGTGAGGATGTAGGAGACCAGGACCACTGCAAAGAGGGGCTTCTCCAGCCAGGGAAACTCTGAGAAGCCCATCAGGAGAAAAGCATTGGGAAAGCTCACGTTCTCGCTTTCCATGATATTAGTCTCTGATCTATGGCTAGAAGTAAAAGGACAGATTTTGACAAATCTGGCTTTGTAACGCAACTTTTACATTTTGCTGGAAGAGCCACACTATGGCCTGGCCTAGCTTGCCTTGCCCCCACAGATGAGGCAGTGCACCATGTGGAATGAGAAACTCTCTTGTTCACCTCCTCTCCTGGACAAGGCAGGGCTCTGTGGTAGGAGAAGAGTTGACAAGATGGGGAGGTGGAGCAAGGCCCAGCTGTGAAGAGGATGTGCCTTCCTCCCTGTCCATTCCCATGAAACCATCAAGTGTGAAGACTGCTGAGACTCGCTGCTCTCCCTTTTCCAGTTACAGACCAGCCCCTTCACCTCCCCCTGCACTTTCCTCATCACTGCTATTATAAATCAATGCGCTGCAGTTACCAGGCGTCCTTTTCTCCCATCAGGAGGAAGACTCTACCCAGCCTCAGCTTTCGGTATCCCTTTGTCTATTGTTTCTTCATCCACCCTTCTCCCTCCGTGGACTTTTCAGCTGCACGAGCTGGAGCAGTTGGCACCCACACAGCTTAGAATATGAGACAAGTCAAATTTTTAAGTGAGGGGATGCATCTGGGTGTGCATGCATAAGTTTTGGACAAGGCCTTTTGGAAATTCAAAACATGGGGCAATCATGATCCCACAAGCGATATCTATATAAAGAAATCCTGGAGGTATTTTTGAAGGATAATGGGTCTAATGTAAAGACCTCCCAATTAATAAGGGTTTTAAATTTCATTCAGTGAATGCGTCCTTGGTTTCCTGAGTCCAGAATGGGGAGTCCAGACACATGGAGAATTGTGGGGAGACACCTACACAACCAGTGTATGGCTGAGAGACTAGAAAAAATCCCTGTATTTACCTCAGACTCTAATCCATGAGTGCTTTGATGCCTGAACCTCTATGGAGTCCACCCATGAAAATTTGGGAAAAAAGACTCCTGAAATTCCAAAACACTGTTCAGGAGTGTGCGGCTTTGAGGAAATCCTCACCAGCCCAGAACCGCTGGCTCCTACTGTGTTTTCCACTCCACCTGAGGAGCTTGCTGCCCTTACTGTGATAACTCTGATGAGGAACTCAGTGAAGATAGAGGTGACAAAGCAAGCGGTCAGGAAATGTATCATGGCCCTTTCATTATCGGTGGGGCCACAACATTTTCTGCAGGGCAGGCTGGCACTGCTGCTTTCTGAGCACAAAGGAACGTCAATGGGCCATGGGGTGTGGCTTCCTCTTTCCTTGCAAAGCTTCCTGTTCCCTCTTGCCACTACAATTTGCAATATGAGAGGCCAGACAGGCAGGGGAGATTCTGGAAGGAGTCCCACAACTTTATCCTATGGTGGAAATGAGAGAAGATCCTGGTCATGGGCTTCGAGGCCTCGATTCCCTCTAATTTAGCATACTCAAGGAATTAAAAATGGCCACTGCAACTTAGCAGACTACCTCCCTCTTTACATTGAGCCTTGTAGAAATTCAGGGCCCAAGCTTTGGCTCCCAATGATTGGGAAGGCATAGGAAGAGCCTTCCGTACTCCAGGTGACTATCTTTAATGGAAAACTAGTTGTACTGAATTGTGTTTGGAATAAACTGCCTGGAACAGAGCTCATAATGTGCTGACAAATTAGGATATGTTGACAGGTCAGGGACTGAGTACTGGGCTTAATCATCAGTTAACTTATGTGCTTATATGTGAAATATGATCACTGCTACATGGGCATGGGAAGAGCTACCTACAAAAGGAGAAAAATCTTTAGATCTGATCAGCATTACAGGTCCAAAGAGGCTTTTCAGGAGTTTGTAGTATGCAGGGTGGATCCTCAATACCTTTGAGGCTGGCAGGTTAACTGTCATGAATCTGACTTATGACAATGCAAATGAGTGTTATAAGGAAGCCCTTCAGTCGCATGATAAACATGCTCCTGTTCAAGAAATGGTTCATCTGTGATAGGGTATCGGTCTAGCTTCTTTCCAGGGTGCAGCTTTAGACACCACTCTGACTCAGTCTATCAACCCTAGAAACAAAGGGAGGTCTTGGAGCTTTCGCTTCTGGTGTGGAAAAAGCAGCCTTTTGTAAGAGTTCCATACCTCAGTTGTTAAAGCCGGAAAAGTCAGATTGATGAAGCCATTTTCTGGCAACCCTCCTACTCATTGGCCCAAATGCTGGCAAGGATATCATTGGGCAAATGATTGCTGATTCAAAACTAACATCAAAGGCCACCCAGTGTCAGGGAATTCCCAGCAGGGCCTGCCCTGGTCCCAACAAACAATGGGGGTGACTTCTCTGACTGTAGCACAAACTTACAGTCACCAATTTATAGTGGGCAACTCAAAGCAGTAGAGGACTGGGCTTCAGTCCCTCTGCCAGACTTACACTAACCCTGGAGATGGACCCACAAGCAATCCCCACTGGTGTTCATGGGCCTTACCCGCTACTACTGTGGGCTTGTTGTTGCGATGCAGCAGCCTTACCATGAAAGGTTTTCAGGTTTCACTAGGTGTCACAGGTTCAGATTTTACAGGGGAAATTAAAGTCATGGCTCAAACCACTGAACACATTGTTCGAATTACTCCAGAGTTGCCTATAGTCTAGCTGGTGTTAACTCCCCTTGGTAAAGGTGGGCAGCACTGTTCAAAACGAAAGGGATAAAAGGAGTTTGGGTCATCAGATACTTATTGGGTTCCAATCATCAAGCAAAGGTGGCTAGAGGTGGAACTAACTATTGAAGAAAAAGCTTTTCAGGGCCCATTGGACATAGGAGCCAATGTCAGTGTCATTGTTCAACACCACTGGCCTCAGTCCTGGCCTTTACACAGAGCAAACACTGATTTACAAGGAGTAGGGAATGTGTCACATCCTAAAAGGAGCACTAAGCTGCAGTACTGGAAGGGTAATGGACATTTTGGATTTTTCACCCCTATGTCCTTCCTCATACTCCTATAAATCTGTGGGGGTGGGGTATCCTGCTGGATATGGGCCCTTGTTAATCAGCCCTATCCCCAGGCTTCTCATCAGATGTTGCACCGGGGTTTCCACCCCCTACAGGAGCTGGGTAAATATTGTCAGAGAATTCAACAACCACTTTCCCCAGATGTTAAAAAAGATCAACGTGGCCTGGATTTCTCTCCATCACTTTTTGTGGAAGGGCCTTGATCACTTCTCCAAACCCACAAATCGCCTCCCATATAACGTGGCTGTCAGATGAGCTCATGTGGGTAGAACAATGGTCCCTTACACAGGAGGAGCTCCTTGCAGCCCATGAATTGGTCTGTAAGCAAAAGAAGGTCAGACATCTTGAACCCTCTAATAGCCCATAGAATACACCTATCTTTGTCACCAAAATAAGTCAGGAAAATGGCACCTCCCACAGGATTTGAGAGATGTTAATTGGACAGTGGAGCTCATGGGAATCATCAGCCTGGATGCCCAGGCCTAGTGCTATTCCACTGCAGTATGCACTTACAGTAATAGATATTAAAGATTGCTTTTTACTATTCTACTGCACCCTCAAGGTGCCTTCAAGGCCTTCAGCCTTCCATCAACAAATGATCAAGCCCCAACACAGCACTATCTAGAGATGTCTCCCTCAGGGTATGGCCAATAGTCCTACCTTGTATCAGGAATTTGTTGATTGATCCCTTCAGGGGGTCCACAATTGATTCCTTGACACAGTGTTATTCAGACCATCTTAAGGACTCTATATCCCAGTGTTTCTGATGCCTCAAAGACCACAGGATTACTGTTGGCTCCAGAGAAGGTTCAAACTATGGCTCCCTTTTCTTACCTGGGATACACTATTCAGGGAAAAACATTACCCTCCCAATCTGTTGCTATTCATAGAGGCTTTTTAAAAATCTTAAATGATGTTCAGATACTGCCAGGTAATACCAATTGGCTTCACCCTTCCCTTCAACTCACCAAAAAGTCCTTGGTCCTCTTTTTGACATCCAGCGAGGAGTTCCTTCACCTACTTCCCCATGATGTCTTACCCCACAAGCACCTTTAGCTTATCCTCTTCCTTGGGAAACTCCTGCTTCAGTACCTATTTTTACGAATCAGTCCCACATCATGAGGGGGTTGATGCTCATATCTCCCCTACATCTACCACCTATAATTACACTGGGAAAGCAGCGGGCCTCCCACTCTGTCTTGGTCCATCTTCCCTCTGTCTCTCACTGTGAGTAATTGAAAAGACAGTCATTGTCTGTAATGAATCAGACACTGATCGAGATGAGCTGGTGCTAATTAAGAGTTTCAATCTCACCCCAGCAGCAAATCCTCATAACCTTCATGCCCTCTCTCCTCTTGCCACGATGTCACTTGCTATGTTCCTCTTTCGCAGCACGTTCCCTGGGAAAACTGTTGCACCCATAAAGTAGATGAAATGGTTATACAAAATATCACTTTCCACGATTCATCTCACACAAAGTACAATGTTACTGGCCACCTTCCAGCACCAGTACTACATATATCATCAAAATACTTCCAAAGAGATCTGTGGCGATTGGCTACCAGTTTACAAGTGATATCTCTTTAGTTTTATCTCAGAGAACAAGAGTCACACAGGGACCAGTAAGACCTAGGCATGCACTTGTGTACAAAACACACAGGTCAGTATCACTCCAGAAGGAGACTTTTAATGTCAGTTTGCAAAACTTGTAATTTCACTGCCTGCCTTACTCACATTAATAAGGGTAAAGATGTGCTAATATTATAGTAATAGATATTAAAGATTGCTTTTTAATATTATATAGGCCACCTGTTGTCATGATACCTACTAATGTTTCTGGCCCTCTGTATCGTGGCCATGGACTGCAAGTGCTGGAAGAAATACATGGACTGCTCACTCACCCCCATGGGATAGCAGGACTGTATCGTGGCCATGGACTGCAAGTGCTGGAAGAAATACATGGACTGCTCACTCACCCCCATGGGATAGCAGGACCTACTATCCTGGAATGATGCCTCTATCTACTCTGCT